CAGCGTGGGCAACAAGACTAGGTAGCACACATATACATTCTCTCTTTTTCTCTGACTTGTAATGCCATCCCCTTTTACTATAAAAGAGGATGGGCTCTCTCCTAAAAAACTCTCTGGCTCTCTAAAAAAAAGAGAAGTTAGACGATTCGAGCACTCGAGGACCTGAGAACTCGAATAGCTCAATAGCTCTAGAACTCTAAAGCTACACAGAGCATACGCTCCAATACTTAGCGCACATTAGAGCCCCCGTCACTCTTGGCCCTTCGGTTTAGAGTCCGACCGGGCCTTTAACACCTCCTTATTCCTACTCGTTTGTAACCCCATAGCAAACTTCGAGCACCTGGGCTCAGGAATAAAGTCACTGACCGACTAAAACTGGACGTATGGCACGTTGCGTGAACCAGTATAAATCCTGTGTCATTGAGTGTTAGGCCACATCCGATCACAATGCACAGTAAAACTACAAATATTTACTTATTGGTCACTTTTCGCACCGACAGTTGGCTCCGTCCGTCGGGAGCACGCCGTGCGTTCACGCTTTTGGTCATCAGATGGCCCACCTTTCCACCATCTTCGTCATGGTGGGCTCGAGCGATACGATTCACTTCGGCTCGCTAGAGTTCCCCATGCTCCCACCTGTTGGGATGTGGGTTCCTCCCGTCTTCGTGCCACTCCAGACCTTCCTCTTCGGGAGTCTAGACTTCGTCGCTGACCGGCTCGACGTACTTCGCCTCCGCAAGGAGGCGCTCGTCTCGGCGTCCATTGGAGGAGGAGCGCCCTCCATCGGCCCCGGGTCACCCGATGACCTCAACATCAAAACCCTCACGCTTCACCTCGAGCCCATGTTGGGCTTAAACTCCACGGTGAGTAATGTATATGCTGTTCTTTACTCATTATTTAACACCTTCCGCCGACTCTCCGGAGGGACCCCGTGGTCCCCACTGCTACCGCCGTGCAACCGGTTTCCCTATGGCTTCGCATCCCCCGGGGACGCGTACATGAGGGGGCTCCGAAGGATGCTGACGCCACCCCCTCTCACATCCTAATTCGTGGGGATGGCGGGCTATGCTCTCGCCTCCTTTTATGACCTCGTAGATGACGAGGTCGAAAGCGACGGCTCCAGCATCGGCAACGTCGTTGCACCTGGCCACCCTCTGTCTTGGGAGTGTGCTATGGCGGACGCCCCGTGACAGCCACCGGTGGTAGCGGAATCTCTGTAGACTCACACCCCTTTGGACCCTCGTGCGAAGGCCCTCGCGCGTGCGCTGGTGCACGGCGATGAGTTATGACAAAGGCGGCAGAGTTAGCCGCCACCTATGTTGGTGCGCTCGGCGTAGCACACTACGCCACGTGCGTGTAACCCGGTGAGCAGCGCTCGGGGTCGCGCTCGCCAGGTCCAGCGCAACATCCTAGATAGAGGGAATGATCCCCCATAGTTTGCTCGGGCTGGCCAAAACATCGCTGCTGCGGCGATGCTTCTGCGCGGCCTTCCCGAGCCTATCGACCCACAGGAACAGGCAATCCACTGGAACCTCCGGGCGCTGGTGGAAACCGTCGCCGTTCAACAGGCGGAGAGCCCCGCATCGCGATATCGGCTCGCGGCCTCTTGCCCCACCGGGGAATGGGGCCGCACCAGTCGAATCGCTCCATCCACTCACCACTACAGTTGCTGGTCGTGGGACAGGAGGCCACAGCTGCACGATGGCCTAACCCGGTGCCCGCTCCACACCGACCACCTATGCGCGAACGGCTCAGGCCGAACCGTGATGCTCGCAACGTCATCAACAATCGACGCCATGCCCGGCACGATGATGACGTCCATCAAGTGGAAACGAGAGCAGGCGGCACAGGCCCTGGCCTGACCATCGAGGAGTGCGGGGACACGCATCTCAGGCATGGTGGCCAACCAAACAATCAAAGCCCTAGCCCGGATGGCCCAGGGCCACAGGCCTTTGGTCATCGCATCCAAAGAGCGTCGTTCCCACAGCGCTTTCGACCACCCACCAACATCGCCAGATACACCGGGGAAACGAACTCCGGTATATGGCTCAAAGACTTCCGGCTCGCCTGTCGAGCCGGAGGAGTGGATGATGACCACTTCATCATTCAGTATCTCCCCATCTGCGTTGGGGAGCATGTTCGAGCATGGCTCGAATTCCTCCCATCCGACAGCATCTACGATTGGGCGGATCTCAAGAGGGTCTTTGTTTGAAATTTTCAGGAGACTTATGTCCGTCCTGGGAATTTCTAGGACCTCAAGAGCTGCCAGCAGGAGCCTAACGAGTCCCTACGGGATTACATCCGCATGTTCTCAAAGCGGTGCAACTCCCTTCCTGATGTTGTCGACGCGGACGTCATCAACGCGTTCCTCTCTGGGACAACCTATGAGTCCTTGATCCACAAGCTCGGTTGTCTGAAGCCCCGTAGCACCCACGACCTGCTCGACATCGCCACGAACCACACCTCCGACGAGGAGGTGGTCGGTGCGGTCTTTAGCGGCGGTTGGGACAGGGGCAAGGCCAAGCGCGAGGACCAAGGCGAGGGTCCCTCCACGCATAAGGGCAAGAAGAGCAAGAAGGATCGGCGTCGACCGGCCAACCCAGCTTTGGTCGCCGCAGCCGATCGTCCAGGCAAGCAGCCCCAGCAGGGCCAGCTCGACCACTTTGACAAGCTCATGGAGAGTCCATGCACCAACCACGTCTACCCCGTCAAGCACCTCTACAAGGACTACAAGCTCCTCAAGCACTTTCTACGACAGCCCGGCAAGCCGAAGGAAGGGAGGGGCAAGGAGGAGGCGACCAAGAAAGGAGGCACGACAGGTAAGGATGATGACGGCTTCCCCGACCCCGAGGAATGCCTCATGATCTTTTGGGGATCCGACGCCATCCACTCCAAGCGCCAGCACAAGGTACGCTACAGAGAGACATGTGCCGCCAAGTCGGCCGTCCCCTCTTTCCTTAGCTGGTCAGACTCCCCGATCACTTTTGATCAGAGAGACCATCCTTCAAGCTCTTCGATGAGCTGCGTCAGGAGATTGCTACCTTCGATGACCTATGGGCGCGCTGTTATGCCGTCGCCGCTGGTGACCACGGCGACTCTTGGCGTGTCAACGATGGCCTCATCCTCCACGACGGGTGCGTGTTTGTTCCGAGCACATCGGCGATCCTCCCTGACGTCCTCCATCTTGCCCACATGGTGGGTCATGAGGGGGTCCAGAAGACGCTCCCACGACTACACGCCGATTTCTTCCTCGAGCACGACTGGCGCATCATCCGCGACTATGTCTGCTCTTGTGCCACCTGCCAGCGGAACAAGACCGAGGCTTTACACCCCGCCGATCTCCTTCAGCCGTTGTCGGTGCCCTCCCGCGTCTAGTCTGATATATCCATGGACTTCGTCGAGGCTCTTCCCAAGGTACATGGCAAGAGCGTCATACTCACGGTGGTTGATAGGTTTTCGATGTACGCCCATTTCATTCTGCTGGGCCACCCGTACACGGCATCACCCATCGCACGCGCCTTCTTCCACGACATCGTCCGCTTGCACGGCTTCCCCGCCTCGATCGTCAGCGACCATGACCTCGTGTTCACTGGGCAGATCTGGCGTGATCTCTTCCGGCTGTCCGGTGTCCAGCTCCGCATGAGCACGACGTTCCATCCTCAAACCGACGGCCAATCCGAGGCGGTGAACAAGACGATAGCCATGTACCTCCGCAACATCACCGGTGATCGCCCACGTGACTGGCTCGACTGGCTCCCCTGGGCGGAGTATTGCTAAACACTTCGTTCCACTCCGCGCTTCGCACGATGCCGTTCACAGTGGTCTACGGTCGACCACCTCTGGCCCTGCTGCCTTATGAGACGGGTAGCGCCCACACCGACACCGTCGATGCCATGCTGGCCAACCGCGATGAGTTTGTCACGGAGGTACGCGCCCGTCTGCTTCAGGCGCAGGAGTACGCTGGCCGGCACTATGACGTGCATCATCGGGCTCTGCAGTTCGCTGTTGGGGACTGGGTGTGGCTGCGGCTGCTTCATTGTCCAGCTCAGTCCCTGGTGGCCGGCGCTCGCGGGAAGCTCAGCCCCAAGTACGCTGGGCCGTATCAGGTGCTGGACCGAGTGGGCACGGTGGCCTATCGCCTCCAGCTACCTGATGGCGCCCGCATTCACAATGTGCTCCATGTGGGCGTGCTGAAGCCATTCCGGGGCACTCCTCCGACGTCAGTACCGGCGCTTCGGCGCTTCCACCTCTTCAACACAGGCGTTCCCTCCAGCAGCCGGAGCACGTCCTGCGTGCCAGTCTGCGTCGTGGCGCCTGCACGTCTTGGTCCAGTGGGCGAACATGCCGGCGTCCGAGGCCACCTGGGAGCCGGTTGACGCCTTCCGCGCCACACACCCCTCCTTCCAGCTCGAGGACGAGCTGTTTCCTAGGGGGGAGAGATGTTATGGTGGGCCACACCTATCAAAGAAGGAAGCGCAGCCGTGGCTAAGGGATCAGCGGCGGGCGGCGAAGGCGCGTTGGGCGCGATCACCACGGCGGCTCGGCGCCAGCATCTGAGGATCGTTAGTTGGGGTGTTAGCTATCCTTTGGTTTGTTAGATCACTTGAGTGTTTTGAGTAGTTTGTTAGCAGTGTGTTTGGATTTAACTATAAGGCCTAAACGTTTGTTTAATGAAAAGATTAGCCAGAGATTAGAGTAAATCTCTCTCTCGCTCCCTGGCGCTAGCACTCTCGCGTTCTCTCGTTTTCCCTACCCTAGCTGCCGGCGCCGAGCACGGCGACCACCACCTCGCACTCATACCACCTTCGCAGTAACCCAAGCTCCAACACATCTACATGAAATGTGGTAGCGGTGGCTGACATCCAACAATCCATTTTGCCAGAACAACTAGAAAACTTTATTCTGGAACAAGATGAAGCATTTTGTGAAACACTAGCCTGAATAGCAAGAACCCACACAAGTCTCAGCCTGGATGTAGCAGACAGTAAGGCATCAGGACGTCATGCACTAGAAACTTGGGACGTGTCAGTTGATTTTTTATGGTGCTCCTTTACCAGAGAGCTGGGGAGGAGCTTGTGAAACTTGTCTCTAATTGCTTGCAACTCTTTAAGAGCATCTCCGATGGGTGGGCGATCTGCTGGTGTCTCATGTGAACAGAAAATTCCAACTTGCAGAATGGAGGCAATGCAAGGAATTCTCATATTGCTAATACTGCCAGAGTAAGAGATGCTTGCTTCTTTGTTTTCTGTCTCTGTTAGTAGCTGTTGGTCCACGATACTACTCACTCTGTCTGGAAACGCCATTTGAACGTACTTGCGGAGTCCAATGGCTTCTCCAAATTCACTGTCCGTTGGACTTTTTCCAGTGAACATCTCCAGCAACAGTATTCCATAGCTGTAGACATCACCATGCGTGGAGACTTCATTGCCCAGTCCATACTCTGTCGACCAAAACGACATCTTTTTAAGAAAGTTATCCCTGAAGAATTAGATATGCTCATTGAATGTTTTATGTTCGGTAAAAATTCATTTACAAAAACTACATTTAATAATATAATTTAGTTCCATGAAATTTTAGATTCCGGCATTCAGTTCCTTCCAATTCTCAAAAATTCAGTTTTGTTGAGCTGTACATATCAACGTGAACTAAGGTATGCATTTCAGACTATATATATTGGAAGAAGATCAGTTAGAAAATAGAAGCACACCTGGAGCTGCATAGCCAATGGATCCTCTCATTGATGCCCAACCACTTGACCGATATGTGTCTTGATGTAGAAACCTTGCAAGCCCAAAATCACCAACACGAGCAACCATGTCACTGTCCAGGAGAATATTGCTTGGCTTAAGATCACAGTGAATAATAGGTGTTGGCTTATACTGGTGAAGATAATCAAGTGAGTATGCCACATCAATCGCAATGTGTAGCCTTCCAATCAAATCCAGTGCCTTATGTTCACCATCTTCCATGATATGTTGGTGCAGCCACTGGTCTAAATTTCCATTTGGTAGAAACTCATACACAAGGGCCTTGAAGTCACGACCCTGAAAATCAATACTGGAGCAGACTGTCAAGATCTTCACAAGGTTACGATGTCGAGCACATCTTAAAGTCTCGCATTCTGCAATAAAACTTTGAGTTGCTCCACGTTGCGTGAGGTTGAGAACCTTAACTGCAACTACTACATGCTGGTCGTTGCTTCTCATTCTCCCTTTGTAGACCGAGCCAAAGCTCCCTGCTCCGATGAGGTTCTCAGATGAGAAACCATCTGTTGCATTGGCCAATTCAACATAAGATACTCTCAAGTGTTGCTCATCGATGGCTGGCCTTTGTAAGTTTTCTTTTGTTTTTTGGATCTTTCTGTAGAAAGACAGTGCAAGTGCAAATATTGCGACAAAAAGAAATGCACTGCATACGGAGACTATTATGGCTAGTTCTCGTGATGGCCTCTTGTTGGTGTGGATAGAGCAGGGTGGCAATTTCAGTTGAGGGATACCACCACACAGGCCACCGTTTCCTGTGATCAAGATTGCAGTGGCATTGAGAAATACCCCGTCTTTTGGCACTCCACCTTGCAATTTGTTGAACGAGAGATTCAATGAAGAAAGCCCTGGTAGCTTGCCAAGTACTTCTGGGATTGTCCCAGATAAATTATTGTAGGAAAGATCAACCACCAAGAGGCCTCTTAGGTTTCCTAGGGACACTGGAATTGCCCCTTGAAGCATGTTTACAGATACATTAAGATTTTCCAAGCTTTGACACTCACCAATGGAGGTTGGAATTTCACCAGAAATCATATTATTAGATAAATCGATTTCGTTGAGATTTTTGAGATTTCCCACTTCTGATGGGAAAGGACCTGATAAGGAATTATGTGCGAGATTCATGGATTTCGACAGTGTTGATATGAAAAATAGTTCTTTGGGTATCGGACCGAAAGATTGTTGTGAGAAAGATCTAAAACCTCTAAAGGACAGTTGCTGAGACTGGAAGGTATAGCTCCACTTATCGCATTAGTACCGAGGATAAGGGTAATAAGTTCTGTAAGATTGCCCAGAGATACAGGGATGGGTCCTGACAACGCATTATTTGATAAAGATAACCTATTCAACTTCTTGAGTTTGCTGAGAGATACTGGAATAGCGGATACTAGCATGTTGTTACCCATATCAAGTTCATTTAGATTGATTAGGTTCCCTATTCCTTCTGGTATTGGTCCAGTTATCTTGTTGTCTTTTATGGTAAGAAATTTCATTTGTGTTGAAAGATTACCAATTGAATTTGGCAGCACACCTTCAAGTTTGTTGGAACTCAAAGCTAATTTCCTCATATTGCTAGAATTGGTGAGACCTGTCAGGAAGCCCCAATCAGCATCATTTCTTGCTTCAAAGTAACTATCTGCAAGGAACACCACAGAGAGGTTCTTTTGGTGAGTTCCCAAGCACTGGGGAATTGTGCCCGACATGAAGGTGGTTACTATTTCAATGACTTGAAGCATGGAGGCATTGCATATGGATGACGGGAGCGAACTGTGAAATTGATTGATTGATGCAAATAGTAATTTTAGTTTTGATAGCTTGCTGCCCATATCAGGTGGAAAATCCCCAGTGAAACTGTTGAAATCCAATAGCAGAAGTTCAAGAGAAGAGAGATTGAACATCGAATGAGGCAATGATCCTTCTAGTGCATTTTTGGATAGATATAGTTCGGTGAGGTCATGGAGGTTTCCAATTGACTGTGGTACGGAACCTGAAAGATTGTTCACAGAGAGAGAAAGGATCTGAAGCAACTCAAGGTTTCCTAATGATTCTGGGATTTGACCCACTAGACTGTTATACTTGAGACTTAAGTAAACTAGTGAAGAGAGGTTTCCTAACCAAGAAGGGATGTTTCCCGTGAGCTTGTTGTTTGCCAACTCAAGTATTTGGAGAGATGATAAGCCTTGGAGTGGTGGGATGTGTTCTAGGTTAGTGTTGGGAATAGTAAGAACGGTCAATGCTGAGAGGTTTCCAAGTGAAGCAGGGATACTTCCATAAAACAGATTGTAACCTAGATCTAACTCGACGAGACTGACAAGACTGCCTATCTCTACTGGGATTTCCCCAGTCAAATTGTTGAATGTTAGGCCGAGGTATTTGAGATTCACAAGGTTACCTATACTGGAAGGTATGGTTCCTGTAAGTGCATTAGACTCAAGATGGAGTATTTGGAGATTATGCAGTGAGCTGAACTCTCCTGGTATCACACCCTGCAACTTGTTATCGTTGATTGAAATATCGACAAGGTAGCTGCAGTTGGAGAGTGATGGTGGAATCTGCCCTTCAATGGAGTTGTAGCTAAGCTGCAGATCCTCAAGGTCATGGAGATTACCGAGCTCTGGTGGCAGGATCCCATGGAAGTGATTCGACGAAAGGTTGAGCAGCCTCAGGTACGTGAGGTTTCCCAACGCAGGAGTGACGGTGCCAACAAGGTTGAGCTCGCCGAGGTCCAACGCCACCACACGGCCATGGCGGCTTCCCTTCAAGCCACAAGACACGCCCTGCCACTGGCACATCGGCACAGACTGGTTGCTCCACGTCGCCAGCGCTCTCGATGGGTCACTCGTCACTTGTGACTTGAATGCCATGAGAGCGAGGTGATCGGAGAAATTGGAGGTGGATGCCGCATGAGCTGCGAGGACGTGTGAGGTCTGTGTCATGCTTGTGGTACAGCAAGCTAGAGAGACAAAGGCCAGCAAGAGATGCTCAAGGAACAGCACCATTATTGCTGAGTTGATTGGGAGAGCTTAGCTGGTCGTTTGTGCTTGTTTTAGTGCAAAGCAACCAGCCAGAGATCAGGCTACTTATATGGTTGGGGGCAGCAGACAGTTCAACAGATACAGCAAAACAAAGCGCAAAAGACACAAACAGAAGAAAGTTGCCGCAAGTAGCTTCCCAGTTGCCGCTTCACTGTCGGGCGGGGACGTATTTTCTCTTCTGCTATTCTTATAATCAAGACGGTGGAGGAATTCTCCAGGTGTCGTCACCCACTTTCACATTGGAAACAATATCTAATCTTAAAACAGATTTTAGTATCATGTATGTGCCCAGCATTGCTCAAAGCAGAGGAATACTAGAAGGGAAAGAGACTGCACCCATTATTGCCAGGGGGGTTATGCCTGTGAAGGCTGTTGTTCTGATCAACTATATGTAAAAGCCGGATATTACTGAAATTTACAACCGAAGGTTGCTTAGTATTATTCCAGTTAGAATTTTTATTTTGTTGTTTTCACATTATCTCCTCAAAATATTATGTTTCTTTGTTATTTCATAAGCATTAACACTTTTTTTTTGAAAGTGCAAAGCATTAGATAGCATCTTTTGGCAAAAGAAACCTAAGATAGCATCAAAATTAGGTATGCAATGACTCTTACTGATCTAGGCCGGTACAACATGTTGCCCCACAGGATTTTTTTTTTTATCTTGGTTCTGATCTGGTGAGTGAACAACTGTGCTCCTCTTCTTTGCGTTTGAGGCAAGTTGGTCAATGTCTTATGAAGATGCTCAGAAGTCAGAAATGGAGCAGCAGTTTAGTCGCCAAAGATCATTTTCAGTTCATCAATTAATACACGTTTGTTAGGAAAAACTAGTCTATGTTTGGTTTTGGACGCTGCTATACATATGACTGCTCTGTGTGAATCAAGGAGAGTTAGCAGCATCACTTAGTCGCACGCTGCTCCAACATTCATACGTGAAGGTGAAGCATTCTCCTTTGTTTTGATGCAAGTCTGTCATTATCAACCAACCACTCAATCGATCAACAAAGTAAGTAGCTTTCTAAACACAGGCGGGTGGTCATCAATTAGTACTCCGTATGACACTGTCATCTTGAGGAAACAAAGGATACTGCCACTTTCAGTCAATTTAAACAGCCAGTTGCACTTTATGCATAATTTTTCGTAGTATATGATCAATACATATATCTATTCCCCTTCAAAATTGATATATAATGTAACAAAAAGCCACTGCAAACTGTTGTTTATCATGATTGTGAATGTATGATGTGAAACCGTGCATGTGTGTCAAGGAATCGGCGATATATTCTCTTGTATCAGCTGAAGTGTCACCATAAAACAAGAACTCACAAGTTCGGCATAAGTAGTAGACCGATGTGCCAATGTGAACTCAGCTGTTTGTTATAAGAGCCAATTGAACTTGCTTTTGACAGTGCAAGGAAAATAGAAGATGGTGATGTGATGCAGTTGTTTTCTCGCACCTAATGGTTGGTTCTTTTTTTCTTTCTGTTTGATTTGACGAAACAGGGGCAGGAGCTCTGTTGTTCGATCCAGCGGCTAAAGTTTAGTTCGTGTTTCATCGGACATTCGGATGCTAACTAGGAGGACTAAATATGAGCTAATTATAGAATAAATTGCACAGGAGTAGACTAAGTAGCGAGACAAATCTATTAAGTCTAATTAATTCATCATTAGCAAATGTTTACTGTAGCACCACGGTGTTAAATCATGGACTAATTAGACTTAATAGATTCGTCTTGCTACTTAGTCTACTCCTGTGCAATTAGTTCTATAATTAGCTTATGTTTAGTTCTCCTAATTAATATCCAAAGATTTGATGTGACAGGCTAAACTTTTTTGTGGAAACAAACACTCCCTAGTTCACAAAAGACCCAGCAACCCAGTGGTTAGTTTTGGTTTAAAGCTAACAAAAGACCAAAAAGGTACTGTAAACTATCACACAAAAGAAAATTTAATTTGATGTCCCGTTGTTGGCCAAAATTCCATCCTGCAGAATCCAAAAGATGCGATGTGACACTCCGTACGCTCTGGCTGGGGCATGAGCAAGAAAAAGCAGCCTGTTCGGATGGTTGACTGGTTCGTGGCTGGATCGTGGATTATTACTGTTGGCTAGTTTGATATGAGAGAAAAATACTATTCCGGCTAAAAATTTACGTTCATTTACGACCGTATAAGCCCAGCCGAAGAGTAGCAGCAATTCATTGCAGAAAATGGTTGTTTCCTCACTTCGCTAGGTTGTACTCCCTCTGCATTTAAATACAGAGTAATACGTAGAGGACACCACACGAGTGGACTATATGCATACATACAGCAAGTCGGTCACGTAGTCCACTATAGAACTAAGTAGATCAGTAAGGGTGGGGTAGGTTTGTGTCCAAATCGCACCATCGTAGTACCATGACTTATTTGTTTTACCTAATAGATTGTGGAAAGCAACGTGCAGACCGTAACAGCTAACGATCTACAAATTGGAAAAAGACATATTATTGTTGAATTTCAACAATTTTTGGCACGCGCGCTGGCTATCTCTTTCGGTCGCAAAATTAATCCCTTAGTTAATACACCTCCGTATAATCCACCGTTAGGCGGTGCCTTGTGTTTGTGTCTAACCCGGTAACTAACGATATCTCACGGTGTTGCGATCCCAGGCGTTGTATGAATCTTAATCATTCTTAATGAAACACGCACCAATGCACGCTTTTGGGGGGAAAAAACACAATTTTTGGCATGTGGATGGTTACAATCCGTAGGTGCAGAATTACTTATTTGTTTAAGCTTTCGATTATAGAAGATGCAATCTGCAATCCTTAGCTGAAAAACAAATGAGTCCTTGTCCACTAACTAGCAAATTCTTTTTTGCCAGGAGCAAATCTACCACCCTGCCCCCCTCCCTCCTCTCCTCCCAAAATTTTTGGCAAGAAGAGAGGACAGGAATAAAATATAGTAGAAGCGGAGGATCTTTTGCATCTAATTTCCACCACTGTTTTTCTTTTTTCTTTTTTGCTCTAGTGCACTTTAGGGCATGGACAATAAGGGGAGCATCCTGTCATATATTTTTCAACATCCTAGTCGATCATTTGACCAGTTTGCCAGCCCCACGTAATATGCTTTTTCGGTGGATGTGTTCATATAAGCGAAGACATGTTGCTGGCTACTTTTGCATAATGTTCTTGATTCTTGAAAGGAACAACAGGGCCGGCAAGATTGTCCTATATATGTACTTACACAAAACCTTATGGGATTATTTGGTGATCTATCCTAATAATAAATTTTTAGAGCTCTTTTACAGTGGTTGGGGGTACTTCTGGGTTCCTCTTGGTTCCTAAGCACATTATTAGCTCTCATTAATTTTAAGAGTGGAAGGTTAGTATTGTAATTGCGTCTCCCCCTCCCCCGCAACCCAGCAGGCCACGCACAGCCTCCCCCCTCTCCGGCAACCCATCTCCCCCGAATCCACAGTAGAAGGACGCGACACTAGCCGCCGACGCCTCGCCCTCGCACTAGCCCTAGCCGGCGCCGCCTCGCCATCGCCATCGTGCGGCGCCCTAACCCACACGCGGAAGGACGCATCTCGCCACTGCCTCACCCTCTCCATCGCGCGGCGCCGCCGCCGGTGGCCTACCCTCGCCCCTCCCCCGCAACCCAGCAGGCCACGCACAGCCTCCCCCTCTCCGGCAACCCATCTCCCCCGAACCCACAGCAGAAGGACGCGACACTGGCCGCCGCCGCCTCGCCCTCGCACTAGCCCTAGCCGGCGCCGCCTCGCCATCGCCATCACGCGGCGCTGCTGCCGCCGGTCGGCCCTCGCCATAGCGCGGCGCCGCCGTCGGTGGCCTGCCCTTGCCCCCACTCGTCGCATGCACCGAGCCCGTCGCTCCTCCCTCCTCCCCGGCGCCCCCGCCTGGTGTGTGTGGCCCCTGGGGACCCTGTGCCCACGCCTAGCGCGCAGGGGACCCCGTGCCCCCGCCCGCGCTGTAGCATCTAGTAAGTAGTCCACATCTTTGAATTGTAGGAGTTACAGTAATTGCCTATCAAAGTTAGATCAGGGTGCATTGTCGGTACAAGCATAGTATATAGTGATTATTTAGCTGACTGGGTAAGCTGAGTGGCTGTTTTACCAACAGATGAGTTGTTGTAGTCTTGTAGATGTCAATTTACACTAGGAGGCTCTGGAGAATTGATGTTGAAATGTCACCTTCTGTGAGCACTTTGATGTCAGAGGAATTTAGCTGCACTCCAGTATTGGCACCTAGTAGCAGACTACTGTCTTGTTTTACTGAATTTGATGAAGGTTCATGAAACCTTGTAGCCTAGCCCCACTCATCAACTTGCTTAGCCTTCCTCTTTACTTTCTTTGAGCTCACTCCACTGTTTTACAAGGGCAGTCCTTAAACTTGTCCTTGTGTGGTGCTATTCAGGTTTCTGAACTCTTAAATTTGTTATGTGGAATTTTAATTTGTTTAATGTTGTTGATGGATACATGAGGAAATGTCAGATCTTGAGTCTTTGCTGGAGTACAATGAAATTGTCAAGAAGATGTTTGCTAATGAAGAAGAAGGATTTCAGTTCTATAACAACTACGGTTTTGAGAAAGGATTTAGGGTGAGGAGAAGCTATTGTGAGTGGGACAATGGCCACAATGAGATGACTCTTCGGAAGTTTATTTGCAGTCGTCAAGGTTTCCGTGAAGAGAAGCAGCTGAAGAGGGCGATTAAGAAGCAAAAGCCGTGGAATATTACTCGTGTTGGATGCCTTGCTAAATTTATGATTACACGAGATCAGATCATAGGGCAGTGATATGTGAAGGATTTCATCGATGAACACAACCATCCGATGGCGTCAGCAGAGCTTACTTGCCTGCTATGTTCACATAGAAGAATCAGTGATGAGCAAAAAGCTGAGATTGTGGAGATGGAGAGTTCTGGGATCCGCAAACACGAGATAATGGATATTTTGAAAATGTAGTA